CATGGTCCCCGTGTGTGTTGTAAAGTAGTCACCGCTCCAAGCTCACTCCCGGGATGGACTACAATCTCATGTTTAGTTTACTAATTTGTATTGAGATTGTAGTCCATCCCGGGGGGGAGCTTGGAGCGGTGACTACTCTACAACACACACAGGAATCGTGAGGAACAAAAGTAGCCCCCCTCCAGAAGGAAGGACAGTGTCAGCACCAATTCAGAGATGATTGGAGGATCTACAGCCGAGTGACACACAGATAAGAGACATTGTTGTTCATAGTTCAGGTCCTTGAATGTATTTTTAAGATTGAACTCCGGAGTTCAGTGTCACTTTAAGTCTTATATGAGATTTTAAAGATTGGGTTGTCAGCATTGACTGATGTTGTGTCACGGATCTCTATCACAGAACCTGTGCCTCCGGCAGGGATAAGCGGGGTTAATGTTCCTTGTAAAAGCTCTTTTTGTCTTCTTACACATCACAATGTTTATTTAAAAGGTGTACGGAATTCTTCATCCGGACTAACCCATTACTCTGTGTATTTCCTTCTTCTGCTACATGGAACCTTCAGGAAATGGTGACACGGAATGACACTTCAATAAAACATTTCTTCACAACTGTTATTAATCACTCTTCAAATACTCTTTAAAGATCAATAAACATTGTTTACGTTACAATGTATCTAAAGGTTCTTATTATTTACAGAGTTATTCACAGAAGGTTGAAGAGTTTGGAGAAGGCGGGAGAAGGGAACAATCTAGGACAACATCGCTGAACTGGAAAGTGAGGTGAATTGGAGAATGTTTCCAAATGTTGGCCTAGATTGTTCCCTTCTCCAGCTTTCTCCAAACTCTTCACCCTTCTGTGAATAACCCTGTTAGTGATGGACAGGGTAAGGAAGAGTTAAAGTGCAAATGAAGACTAAGGGGTTTATTCACAAAGCTAGCCGAAGGATCAGCCGTAGCTTCGGCCGCCGGAGCCCTTTGCTTCAGTCGAACCGAAGGGCTGCTGTACAGGCTATTCACTATAGCCCGTACAGCTGTGACAGCTGCCGAGCGCCTCAGCCGAGCCGAAGGCATATGCTTCGGCTCAAATGAGCCGAAGTGGGGCGAAGGGTCGGGCGAAGGGTCGGCCGAAGGCCGGCCTTTCGCCTTCAAATGAAAGCTGGGCGGGGCCAGTGCTTCGGCTCAGCCGATCCAGATGTTGGATCGGCTGAGTCGAAGTCCTTCTGCACTTCGGCTCAGCATGTTCGGCTGACTGAAGGCAGCCGATGTACGGCTGATTTCAGCTGATGTATGGACGAAATCAACCGCTCCAAGCTCACTCCTGGGATGGACTACAATCTCAGGTTTAGTTTACTAATTTGTATTGAGATTGTAGTCCATCATGGAAGCGAGCTTGGAGCGGTGACTACTCTACAACACACACAGGGACCATGGGGAACATAAGTAGCCCCCCTCCAGAAGGAAGGACAGTGTCGGCCGAAGGCCGGCCTTTCGCCCTTCAAATGAAAGCTGGGCGGGGCCAGCTGTGATCTCACGGCTGGCTCCGCCCAGTTGTAATGACAGATCAGCGTCCCCAAATGACCTAGGGGCGCTGATCTATCATTAAACAATAACAACTGGAGCCGGCCGTGATGTCATAGTCGGCTCCACCCAGTTGTTATTCCTTGGCTAAGACCTGCTAGAAGACTCTACAGGTCCTGGCCAATAGGAAGCAGTTGTTTTAATTTTTTCTTTTTCAACAAAATCTTCTTTTTTTTTTTTTAAATGTATTATTTATTTACATGTTTAAACACTATTTGCCATTCTGCTCGGTACCACGTAGGTACCATGGTACCGCTCGACGGCATTCGGCTATTCACTCACTGCCGTTCAGCCCATATGTGAATAAGGGCGAATGGCAGCGAGTGAGCTGCCGGTGCTTCGGCTCAGCCGATCCAGATGTTGGATCGGCCGAGTCGAAGTCCTTCTGCACTTCGGCTCAGCGTGTTCGGCTGACTGAAGTGCAGCCGAAGGCAGCCGATGTACGGATGAAATCAGCCGTACTGAGCCGGAGTGATGACCGAACGGCGTTTGGCTCACTTCACTACGGCTTGGTTATTCACTCGGCTGCCTCCGGCAGCTTAGTGAGTACTCCTCTAAATCTTTTGTTTTTTAGTTTTGGATGCAGTGAAGAGGGATTAAAACCTATTTCACGTATTTACTGCTGTCTGTGTCCCCGTTAGGTAGATTCACCCTCTCTATGTGTCCGGGTGTCACTGTTATCACCGAAAGTGAAAGAAGATCACCAGAACAGGAATAGATGGGAAATCTTCCAATGGGGACACTAGTTCTGGTGACCACCAGGGATTTCCCTATCTTTGGAGGGATTTCCTCTTACTTCCTGTTGTAGCTATTGGACAGGAAGTGAGGGGGAATCTCCCCAACGGGACACAGATGGCAGAAAGAAGGGGTTATAAGCCTGATTGGCTGCAGCCACTATACAGCGGAGAATTTTCCTAGCTCCATTCAGTTTTTAGATGGAAGGATGTCAGGTGGGAGGCTGCTGCATTTTCCCGTCTCCTTCACTTTATAAAATTGTAGGCACTCAATATCGGTGTAGAGAAATTCATATGTATAATAACCCCCCAATCTATATTCTATTACAGGAAGTAGCCGCAATGCAGGCCCTCATCGCCAATAACGACGTGAAGATAGAGGTCGATGCCCCCAAGAAACCCGACCTGAACGCGAGCATTGCTCAGGTCCGCAGCCAGTATGAAAAGATGGCCGAGCAGAACCGCTTAGAGGCGGAGAACGCCTACAAAACCAAAGTAAGGAAGTTGTCAAAAGGAACTCGTACCTAAAATGTCCATGTGGCCTGATTACAATGTACAGCGAGATTCAGCATCGCCCCTTTTTATAACAAAAGGTATTTCCTCATCCTCACTTCCAGCACAAAACCCAAAAGCAAGACCCTTAAGGTGCCCACACACCTTACGATTATCGGACGATTTTCGTATGCGATCGACTTTTCGTCCGATAATCGTATGTGTGCATTGCAGTGTCCGACCGACATTACTGTACAATCGTACGACTTTTGACGGTCAAGCATGTTAGAAAACTTTGCTCGATCGTACGATTGTCGTAAGGTTGCTGGCATTCCCGTCGGTCAAAAGTCGTACGATGTACACTGCGCTTGCGCTAACGAAAATACGGCAAATCATTTACCGCATTTCGTCCAGGTGCTTTTCGTTAATTACGGCTAAATTAATCTTGCAATCATCGGGGCAGGATGGAGCTGCCGTCCGATAATCGTAAGGTGTATGGGCACCTTTAGTCTGAGGTTCTTGTTTTTGAGGTGTTGTGCTGGAAGTGAGGACGAGGAAATATGTTTTGTTCTATGAAGGTAACTACGTATCCCACTAAACTTTACATTGTAATTGTATAAGAAGCACTTCCATACCTTCCATGTATCTCACAGTACTTTAGAGTAGGGATGCACCGATACCGGTATTTTGGTACTGAGTATGAGTACCGATCATTTTTTTCGGTACTCGCCGATACCAATTACCGAGTACCGGAAGTCCCATTCAGGAAGCCAGGTGGCGTGTAATGACTCACCACCCGGCTTCCCGATTAACAAGAAAGTCTGCCCCCTCTCACCTCGGCATGTCCAGCCTGTCACCCCCGGGACCTCTCCAGCCAGAACGTGGCCTTCCTCCGGTACCCAGCCGGAGCCGGCCTGCTGGCCAATCATGGAAGCCGGGCGCCGTGTAATGACGGGGCGCCCTGGTTTCTGATTGACCGAGGGTCGGCTCCATGCTCCCTCGTCATGAGATGACAAGGGAGCATGAAGCCGGCTTCCTGGCCAATCAGAATGCAGGGCGCTGCGTCATTACACGGCTCCCGGCTTCCTGATTGGCTAGCTTCCTGACCAATCAGGAAGCCGGGCAGCGGTGTAATGACGTGCTGCCCGGCTTCCTGATTGGCTAGCTTCCTGACCAATCAGGAAGCCGGGCAGCGGTGTAATGACGTGCTGCCCGGCTTCCTGATTGGCTAGCTTCCTGACCAATCAGGAAGCCGGGCAGCGGTGTAATGACGTGCTGCCCGGCCTCCTGATACAGGAAGTATCGGGCTAGGCATCGGAGCATTTGGGCGAGTAGGAGTCCTCGCCCAAATACTCGGTATCGGCACCGATATCGATACTAGTATCGTTATCGGTGCATCCCTACTTTTAGAGGCGGGCTTTGCAGTTCTTTTTGTACCTCTCGCTTCCTCCTGCCTGCAGCACACTGATGACATCATCTCAGCCTAGGCATAGTCACTGACCGGAGCTCAAGGACGGCTATCAATGATAATAGGTGGAGCTTTTCTGCAAATGTATGCTGTTGCTGTATGTTGTGACGTCAGGAATTTATTCTCGCAGACACGTAAAGTTATGAAACGGTCATTTAAACTTCTCCTTTCAGTTTGACGCCTTGTCCCAGGAGGCCAATTTGAACACGAAAGCTCTGGAACAAGCCAAGAATGAAGTGGCGGACCTGCGCCGTCAGCTGCAAGCTTTAGAAATGGAACGTCAGACCATGCAGAAGACGGTGAGAATGTTGTGTTTTTATCATGGAAGGCCTACGCCTAGTGCTCGAGCCACTACAAGTGTCAGCATGCCCCCCATGGTCTGTGGTTCTCAGGGCTTGCTGAGACTTGCAGTTGCACCAACACTGGAGAGCTGTGGGTTATACGAGTCCTATTATCCTTATATTAATTCAGCGGAGGGCTGTCTGGGAACAGGGAGTGTCCCACTTTACATACGGGAAACTATAATGGTTCGGGGTCCGTTTTATTTCTAAAAAATTGTTACCATTTATAGGTTTTATATTCATGTATTTGTGATTTGTACAAAAATACTTGTTTTACAAATACGCATTTTATACAGAGTATGCCCCTGACACAGGATTCACAGGCCACAGGCCACAGGCAGAAGCTGTTTGCCTTCACACTCTCTCTGATGGAAACTCCTTATGGTCTGAGGGAGGGAGAAGGAGTCCCTGCCCTCACACAATAATTTGTGTGTGTAAGCTTCAGCTTGACTACTTAAAGGAGAACTTTGAGGTGGGTGCTTTTCACTCACCTCATAGTTCTAGCCGACGTGTGACAATGAGACTGTCACAGGTCGGCTTAGTAGATCGGGTGGTGAGCGAACACATACCGGCGTTCTCTCACCTCTCGATCCTGTCACAGCTCTCTGCCGTGACAGGGGAGGGGCTGGATTCCCCCCTCCGACCCGCCAGCGCTGACTGGCGGATCGGACGGGGGAGGGGGTGGGTACAGCTGGCTCTGCCTCTAGATAGGCAGAGCCAGCTGTCACTCACGCAGCTGGGCGGATCCAGACATAATTGTCGGGATCCGCTTCAGCTGCGGCGTCTCAGTATATAGGGAGCCGTAGCTCGCGGTATACTGAGCTTAGGGTGACGGGAGGACGCTAGTTTGTGTCCTCCCGTTACCCCAAGGAGAACTATGGGGAAAAGCCCTAACCCCATAGTTCTTTAATAACAAAGTATATAAGGGCAGCCTGGAGAGGATACAAACAAAGCAATAGCACCACCTACTGGCTGAAAATGAGGATAAATAATATTTGGTGCAATTTTTTTCTCTTATCTTCTTTTTTTCACTGCCACTACTCCTACCATTTCTCCCTTTTTTACTATCTTCCCCCTCCTTTCCTATATACACCTTTTCCTTAACCTAACATCCAGGCCTTTATTTCTTTTAACCTCCCTCCCCTTTCCCCTAAGTATTCCCTTTTCAGATATACTGTATACCCTCTAAATGACTCTGCCTACAATATATGGATACAATATATAATATATATATATATATATATTAATCATTCTTAGAAGTGGAATATCACTTTAATTCCAGCCTTCTATAGTCACATTCAGGGTAGTAAAAAGAAAATATATTATTACTGTCTTTCTCAAAATCCCAGCCGGCTTGAATGTGGCCCTCGGGGGCTGGATTTGGAGAGCCCGGCATACATGAATGACTTATTCATAATTCCATTCTTGATATTATGTCCTCCAGGTGGATTCTTTAGAACACGTCCTGAAAGATACGGAAGACCACTACGCCTCCCAGTTAATGGAACTGAACCGCTCGCTTGCCCGACTCCAAGACGAGCTGGCCGCCTGCCGCTCTGACATTGAGCGCCAAGTCCGAGATTACGAGGCCCTGCTGAACCTGAAGTCCAAGTTGGAGAATGAAATTCATGATTACCGAACGCTGCTGGAGGGGGTCACTGACAAGTGAGGAAATGGAGAGGGCTGGGTGGGAGTATTTGGGATTCTCCTAATTCCCGGAACACTGAGGGCTGCCAGTCATTTTTAAGCCAAGGCAATATTTTTAATCTGCAGCAATCCAAAACCACCAATTTATGAACTTTGCCATTTATATTATAGTTGTGCAGTCTGCAGGCATCTGGCACTAGATCTTTCTTCAGGTTCCTCTAGGCCAGTGGTAGCAAAACCTCCAGCTGTGGTGAAACTACAAATCCCATGATGCATTTCTCTCCGGGAGTCATGTCTGTGGCTGTGAGAAACTCGCAATGCCTCATGGGATTTGTAGTTCCACCACAGCTGGAGGGCCGGAGGTTTTCTACCCCTGCTCTAGGCTGTGGTGGTGTCCATGCTGGTGGAGATTCTGCCTCTTCCAGTGCCACCAAGGCTCAGAGTATGTTATGGGCGGGGGTGGAACCCTCCATTATCAAGCATTTTGCTTCAAAGGAACCCCTTTAAAGGAAACCTGTCATGAGAAATAGGTGAGCTGCTACGATTGTCCTCTGTTCCAAATTTCCAGTTGGCTGGCTGTCATTCTGATCCTCCATACTTGGCTCAGAAGAGGCGTGCAGCAAGTGAAACCAGAACTCCTGTTCTGACAATTTTTACCAGTTCAGTGACTAAGAAAGTACTCATTTCAGAAGTTTCGGCATGGCAGCCAACCAATTAGCATTTTCAGGAGCAGGTCATGACTGGCAGGTCATGACTGACAGACCCCATTCCATGTTCCATTCCTGACAGATTTCCTCCCTTTCCTAAAATGACCTTCTGTTATCAAACACGTCATGTGACAGATATTTTCTATTGCAGGGATGGACCCGAGACCCCAAGACAAGGGGGTAAGTGACCTTTCGGTAAGCAGAAAAAGATGGCGGTGCATTCGTTCAAAACATATAAAGCTGCTTTGGATTCCTTATTAAAAGTTGAACTCCAGATATGTAATCATTAAAATATTTTTGTATTTAAATGTATTTTGTGCAGCTTGTGTCAACACGTTCGTTGACATGGCATCAGCCTCTTACAATAGTCTATATTAGTCTATATAGTCAATAGAGAGAAGGTCTGCTTTAGGGGCCAATCAGCTGCCGAGTGGCTGGAAGAGAGATCAGGGTGGATAGAGGGATGAGCTACTGCAGCACCTTCACTGTCACATGATGGGGGTGGAGAGGTGACCTATCTGTATTGCTAAGCAGCTGCAGTAGACAAAAGGAGTCAGGAGCTTCCAGTAAAGCTCTATAATCAGCAGGGAGCATGAATTATAGCTCCGACTCAGAAGGGGAAGTGTGTTGGACCTCTGCGGAGAAGCCACTGCTTCCACACAAAGAGCAATAGTCCTTCTCTACAGCATGCTGGCAGCGGACGGGCTTTTCTACTCTGGCTGCTTTCTAAAGCTAACCGACTGTAAAACTTTGCACACCTTTTGTTTTGATGCTCCTGAAATGTATTTAGCTGTTAAAAGGAAGTTAAGTTGGGCTTTAATTTGTGGCCACATATAAGCGGCAGCACAGCGGTGGGCTCTAATGCCATGCTGCCACATAAATGTGTACAGCCAGAGCCGCTGATCTGTGCTGGAAGCATGCACACTTGACACCCCCCCAGCACAGTGACCGGGCATTCACCAACAGTTCTGGGACACTATTTACGATTTGGAGTCAGTAAGATGAGCTCCCGATCACGTTACCAATGACACTGACAATCACAATGATCACATGATTGGGAACCATCAGTGTTAAGAACTCCTTAAAGGGCCAGCGATGGAGGGTTAAAGGAGAACTATGAGGTGAGTGCTTTTCAATCACCCCATAGTTCTAGCCAACCTGTGACAATGAGACTGTCGATCCTCACCTCTCGATCCTGTCACGGCTCTCTGCCAGGACAGGGGAGGGGCTGGATTCCCCGCTCCGATCCGCCCGTGCTGACTGGTGGATCGGACGGGGGAGGGGGCGGGTACAGCTGGCTCTGCCTCTAGATAGGCAGAGCCAGCTGTCACTCACGCAGCTGGGCGGATCCCGGCACAATTGTCGTTATCCGCTTCAGCTGCGGCGTCTCACTATACCACGAGCTACAGCTATACTGAGCCTAGGGTGACGGGAGGACGCTAGTTTGTGTCCTCCTGTTACCCTAAGGAGAACTATGGGGAAAAGACTTAACCCCATAGTTCTCCTTTAAGCACATGCGCATAGCATATAAAGCCAAAGGGGGTGTTGTAATCAGTTACTTCTCCCACAGGGTTATATTGTGATGCAATTTTACCTTATAGTTAGAACTATCGCTATAATAGAACTTATAGTTGTTAATCGAGTTAGGGCCCCTTTTGTAAATATAAGGCTTCTAATTGTATTTCGGTGAGGCGACAGGTTAGTTATTAAAATAGGAATTCTGACAAGTCTCCTCTGTCCTGCAGCTCCTGCGACCGTCCAGAAAGTGACAACCACCCAGCAGGAGATTGTTGATGGAAAAGTTGTCACCTCATCATCAAAGGAAGTTGTTAAATAAAACTGCCACCATGGGAGATCAGAACCTCTGTAAATAAAAACTGCAATGCAACTATTTGTTATTTCGTTTAATGACTTTGTCAGGTGATTTCCAGTACACAATGATTCTTGGTTTATTGCACAGTGCTGGCGCAACACAGCGACTAATATTAAATGTTATCAAGTACCGGGCTATAAAAACCCCTTTAAGGGCCCCTGTGAGCAGATCACGCACATTGAGGCATTTACATATTCTGAATGAGCAATAAAATAAGACAAGCCCCCGTTCACCTCTGTAGCTAGAGGCATTGTGGAGAAATCCATCTTCAAAGTTTACAAGAAAGGCACCGAAATCACAACTCCTCTTCCCTTTTTTCACTGGACAGCCAGCCAGCCAGCCCCCTAATGTACACATACAGCAAGTGTAGGTGTGTGTGTAGGGGTGTGTGTTTGTGTAGGTGTGTGTGTGTATAGGTGTGTGTGTGTGTGTGTATAGGTGTGTGTGTGTGTGTATAGGTGTGTGTGTGTATAGGTGTGTGTGTGTGTAGGGGTGTGCGTGTGTGTAGGTAGGTGTGTGTGTAGGGGTGTGCGTGTGTGTAGGTAGGTGTGTGTGTAGGGGTGTGTGTAGGGGTGTGCGTGTGTGTGTAGGGGTGTGTGTAAGGGTGTGTAGGTGTGTTAGGATATGGATATATAGATCTATACATCTCTAGAGATATATACACATATATAATCTCCCCATATCCTATTACATATACATACATACACACACACACACACACACACACACACAATCTTTATTTTACGTATGACAAAGGATTTCCCAAAGCACCATGGGTTACCTAAAGAGACATCACAGCAGTAGTTGCCTGCCTTGGGTCACCGTGCTGTCTGAAACTTGGACTGAACCATCTAATTAGGGATTTAGTGTGATGAGTCTCCACTGCGAGTCATGGGATACATTTCATCTCGAGCTACCGCGAGTCTGTAAAGAGGCTTTTATTCAACTTGAAAAACAAAAAGGAGCAGATTCCCCCCATAAAAGAATACAAACTATTTACAGAATATTTTACATTTACCTGAGAAAATGGCAATAAATGTAAAAATATATATGTACATACATTGTCTTTAGAGAGCCCTATAGTGTGGAAGCTGCGCCCATAAAAAGCAAGCAGAGGACAAAAGACTAATCAGCGGTATTGCATGTGGTAGCAGGGAGATCCTTCCCCTGCAGGTCCTCAGGTACGACTTCCTCTCCAGCAGGGAGAACAGTGAGCGGCACAGTAGTGATCTTACTTCTGTTGTCTCCCTGAAACTGTGGCCGGGCTTTGCTTCCTCATGTTGGGGTGAGGGAGATTCTTGCACTGGTCCTCAGGTACAGCTTCCTCTCCAGCAAGGAGAACAGTGAGCAGCACAGTAGTGACATCACCGAATGGTACCCGAAGTCTCCAAGACTGGTGACACAGCACCTGAGATCTCACACTGCAGAAATACAGCTATAGGACTCAAGGCTCAATTCACATTTCTAGATTCTCTCCACAGGAAGGCAAATCTTCGATGCTCAACTTTAATAAAGCTAATATATGAGCAGCAGCTAGTGAAGCAGGGAAGCCCAGTGTGCAAGATTACTGTGCCTACCTTGTAGAGCGTGTTACCCTGTTCCCCCAAAAATAAGAACTACCCCGAAAATAAGATCTAGGTACTATTTTTGGGAATTGCTAAAATATAAGACCCACCCTGAAAATAAGACCTAGTTGTGACCAATCCCAGGGCTGGTGGTGCCATAAGGGGGAATGAAGCCAGCGCTAGAGGAAGTGAGGCGGCACCGGAGGGAGCAGAGCCGCATAAGCTGATGCTTCCTCTATAGCGCCGTCTCCTGTCACAGGCGGAGTGATACCCAATGCACTCCGCCTGTGAGGAATCGATAGTGAAAGTGCGCTTCGCTCATTCTGGCCAGCGATTGGTTACCAAATTGGTCTTGGAAAGGTACGGCACCCCTGATTTACCTGATCAGCATATTTTTGTACATGAATAAGTGTGGATTGTTGTATATTAAAAAAAAAAAAAATAAGACCTACCTCGAAAATAAGACCCAGTGTGTTTGAGCCAAAAAAAAAATATAAGACAGTGTCTTATTTTCGGGGAAACACGGTATTTACCAAATCTCAGGCTGACAGACATCAAGCATAACATCTGAGCTTGGTCAATCAGTCCACCACTATCCACTCTGCGAGGACACCACCACCTTATCTGCCGCTGAGGCCCTCATTGTTCTAGACCAGTGGCAATCAACTAACGGGATACAAGAGGCATCAGATGTGCCCCGGCATCCCCTGGGGACATCAGAAATGTCACCAGCACACCAATGGATGATGTCCAAAATAAAGCGTATTTTATTCACGCGTGTTGTCGCATCAAAAATGTTTTGTTTTCATGTGTTTTTTTTTTGCATCTTTGATGTGAGAACACGCGTGAATAAAAGACGCTTTATTTTGGACATCATCCATTGGTGTGCTGGTGACATTTCTGATGCGTGGCGCCATCCACAATTGCTTCAGCACCCACCTTTCAGCACAAGGGGCATTTGGTAAAGAGTGCGGCAGTTATCCACAGTTATGACATCCCCGGGGGGGGGGGGGTCGCACATAATATTCAACATACGTAGTGTGCAGAAGATTCTCAGAAACTGCTAACATAGTTGGAGATGGTCAGACCAGACTTAGGACATGCTACACCTCTGGTTGACACGTTATATAAGATTGCTAGTGTCACGTACCTGTCTGATCAGCTCCTGGTCGGGGTTTGAACCCGCGTCTCTAGTGCGGAGGTGCACAGACCTCGCAATTCAGCCACTGGAAGGACTTGGCTTCTGCTGCAGGTTTTTTGTACTCAGAAACTCCCCTTATGGACACTTTGGCTCCACCTGCCAACCAGCTGTAGAAGATCTGCCATTATCTCAGGCTTTAAATACCAGACACTTCCTGTGCTCTGAGCCCATTGATTTAGGTTAGTTTCCTGTGTGAGCTACTTTTGTGCGATATGCTGGATTTACACCGTGACTCTTGCCTGTTTCCTGACTATTCTCCTGCCTGCCGATTCTGTACCTTGCTGCCCGATCGTGTCAAGATCTCAGTCTGCCTCCCGACTACTCTCCTGGATCCCGACTAACAGGAAACTACTCTCCTGGATCCCGACTAACAGGAAACTACTCTCCTGGATCCCCGGCTACTCTCCTGGATCCCCGGCTACTCTCCTGCGTCCCCGGCTACTCTCCTGCGTCCCCGGCTACTCTCCTGCGTCCCCGGCTACTCTCCTGCGTCCCCGGCTACTCTCCTGCGTCCCCGGCTACTCTCCTGCGTCCCCGGCTACTCTCCTGCGTCCCCGGCTACTCTCCTGCGTCCCCGGCTACTCTCCTGCGTCCCCGGCTAC